TTTGAGCAAAGCAAGTGGCACGCCATTTCTTCTGCCACGTGTCAAGGAGATTTTTTGGGATAACAGTATCATTATTTATTAAACATGCTCTCGCAAACCGCATATATTCAGGGGTTCATACTGCAAACCAGACCGTGGAAGTAAGGAACAAAGCCTCCTAGGGTAAACATACTTTTGAAATACAGTACATAGGGCATATGCACTTAAGCTAGGCAAGCCCTTAAAAGGAAGGGATGGGTAACGTGGGTAGACATTATTGATGTACCATCTTCAAGCTTTGAGGAAACTTTTGAAATACTTCTATGCATTCTACATTTCTACAAGGAGGGAGGAATCCATATGTATCCATGTGTTTGGATATAACCAGCGTTAGAAAGCAGCTCGTCTGCTTCTGCAGGACCCCGGCTGCCTGGTTGATATGGAATTGGTGTGTATTCACCATTGTCGATTCTATGAAGAAGAGGTGTGAAAATTTCCCATGCAGCCTGTTTATTGAAATGATATGATCATTAGCTTGTGAACATGCCTGCCCTATAAACTCTATGTTCTTAACTGATATTTATAAGGCTTTACCTTCAACTCGTCCCTGCGAACAAAATGCTGTTGATCACCTCTTATCCTGTAAAATGAAATGCCAATCCCATTGTTATACAATCAGTAACAAAATCTTTGTTCTTGTTTCCATGTATTCACCTTATTATAGCATTACGAAGCATAACCCCAACTCCTACACCTACTAGCTAGCTTCTCCAACGCAGATGAAAAATGAGGCATTCCAAAACATACGAAAGGAATAAAGCATAGAACCATGCACATGTATACAAGGGCTAAGGGCAAGGTTCATACGTATCAAGAATAAGACGTTCATAAGCCTCTGGGATGGTAACTCCTTGATAACGTTGCCCGTATGACAAGTCCAGTTCACTTTGTACTGTTTGCATCTCAAGGCCAGGTTGCTTGACCTGCATTAAAGGCAACATGCAACTCAGTAGACAAGATAAACGACATTGTTGTGTGGTAGTTCTAAGAATGCCGTAGACAATAAAAGAACTTACTGTTAGCTTCATGTAAATGGCTTCAGAAGGTTGCAGGCGAATAACAAATTCATTTCTCCCTTGCTTTTTACCTAATTAAGATGACAAAATTCAAGCAACAAGCTGATTAAAAAGTCTAGGAGAAGTATTTAGAAAATAACAGCATCGCCAACAATATGCATGTTTTGATGATTACATGCATGTACTTTTTATTCACCCATATCATAAACATAGAGAAGTCAACAGACCTCTACAGCATTGCCAACAAATAGGCAAAACTCAAACATAAGAAAATATTGGAATTTCAAGCATTCAATGTCAACAAGAAGACGACAAAATCAGCAAAACAAAAGCAAGTAACATGTAAGGGAATGTTAACAAGGAACTAAAACTTTTAAGGTTCATTGACATACATCTGAATATATCGCCAGGAACATCCTTCAACTGAACACGTATCTCTGCCTTTCTTGAATTTAATGCTTTCCCTGCCTTTAATATAAATGGGACACCTGCAAACATGGTGAAAAAACCGTAACTGATTTCAAGAAAATTGAACCCAAAATTGTGGTTTGATAATCGTTGAAGCTAACAAAATCAACAAACCATGGCAGACAAAACAGAAGATCCAGAATCAAGATCCAAATGGATAATTAAGAATATCATGCAGCACAAATTGAAATAATATTATAGAAGAGAAACATGAAATGTTAAAATCTGCTACCTTCCCATCTTTCATTATGTATCCGAAGAATAACAGTTGCAAATGTTGGGGTGTTTGAGTGGTCAGGAACTGTTGGATCATCTCTGTAACCTTCATATTGTCCAAGGACAACCTCTTCATCCTTGATTGGAAGTACTGATTGAAGAACCTGATTTTTGCAAGGTAATCAGCTCATATGGAATATGTTATTTATTATGTATATCATAAGAGTTTCTGCTACAGCATTAGATCTTGAGAGCAGAAACAAATAGGCAATTATCCTATACTAGAAACTACAAACCTTCACTTTCTCATCACGGATGTGCTCAGGTTTGAGTGAGACAGGCTTCTCCATTGCAACAAGACAAAGAACCTGCAGCAATTAATAGAAGATAAATTCCTTCTTTCCAATTTCAATGATTGAGGTTTTCATTTTGTCAGGGTGTTTCTTCTTAGTTGCAGCCACAGAGATGAGAAGAAGCTGATTTAAGTTATGCATAAATAGAGACATCAAAATGAAGACAGGACAGGACACAGATTTTTGTGAACTTATCAGAACTTTAAGTGTTGTTTCAGTTAACAGAACTCAAATTAATTCAAGGAACAAGTCATAACTAGAAGCCAAACAAACAATGTTCTCATTATTTTTTCTTAGTTACTCCAATTGAAAAGATATATATATATATATATATATATATATAAAAAACTAATGATGCAAAGATCATATCCTCAGCCAAAAAAGACCAACTTCAGGTCAGTAATGGCCTTACTTGCAAGAGATGATTTTGGATAATATCGCGAATAATTCTGCAAAAGGGAGAAATAGGGAATAAGAAAGACATAGAACATATCCATGCAGTAATTTCAAAACATATCAACACCATGTCAGCCAACAAAAATTATGCCCAAATGAGTGTGGTTACTTGGAATCACATATTCAGCACAGTTAGAATATTCTTTATCATGTCAACGGTAGTTATGGAGTAGCAAAGTGATACAGAGACCAGCACATTGGAATTGCAGTATGGAAGATAATTCATCAATAAAAGGCAATCATGCTTATTCATAGAAAATTCCTCCACAGACGAGATATAGGAACAAAGCAATGTGTGGCATACCCATATTCATCGAAATATCCACCACGACCTTCAGTTCCAAAATCCTCCCTAAACACAATCTGCCATAGAAACAATGAATATTGAGATTAGAGGTTGCAGGATTTTATCATTTGAAATTTGGAAAGTCATGTCAGGCTAAAAATGATTTCCAAAATTCTATTTTGGCGGAAAACTCAGAGATATACAGATACAACTGATGGGCAACAAGATTACCTCCCATACCAGAGTGCCTATACTGACCTTAGTCTAAATTTGGATGTCAACAAGATTTGTAATCCTTAAAACAAAATCCAAATAAGAAAAGTTCTCACCTGTACATTAGCAATGTTGTCACGATTCCATAGGGGCAAAAAGAAGCGATTTGCAAAACGGAGTACCAGCTGAAATCAATGTAAAGTCAGAAATGAGAAGAGCCAATACTGTAACAAAGAAATGCCAAACATTTGTTTAGGCATGCCACATGCATTACCATGTTCTGCACCAATTCCTTTCCCAAATAGTGATCAATACGGTAAATTTGTGGTTCATCAAACAACTCTCCAATCTGGGCACTGAGTTCCTCTGCAGAATCTAAATCTTTACCAAATGGCTTCTCAACAACAATCCGAGTCCATCCACCAAGATCAGCTGGAAGCAATTATATCAAGGACATATAAGGTGCCTAAAGTGATATTTCCAGCAATACCAGACTAAGACATGGCTGATTATATCAGATAATGCACTGTGATCTCCCTAGTAAGGCTGCTGAACTTGGCATATGAGTTTTTAATCTTCAAAACCCTTTTAAGAAAATTTCTAATAAATGCAAGGATAGATAAAACTACATGTTAATTGTCAAAACCTACATGAACCCAATTTTGAGAAAGAGAAAATTTACATTTATTCATGCAACATTTTTTGATCATCCTGCAGACAGATGGATATACTGATGGTGGAAGTGCAAAATAAAAGAGCCTCCGAGATGATCCTTCTTGACTATTTTTTGAGATTTCATGCTCTGAAATTTCCTTGTCCAATAGCTGAAAGCCTTCCTCGGTATCATATGAACCATTAACATATTTAATCTAAAAAAACGCAATTGCTTGTTACAAAGTGAACAAAAGACTGAAGTGTTAGGAATATAATACAGGAAAAAGCTGGACTAACCAGTTGTAAAAACTTTGATACATCTTCTGATTGTTCTGGTGAAGCATTTTTATCATTGAGGAGGTATCTGCAGATTCAATTTGCATATAATTCAAGCATCATTATTCTAATAGTTTTGAAATATTTAAGCAAACACTTTGTATTAGAATTAACATTAAAAAAAAAAAAATTACAACATGTATCAGATAAGAATATAATAGTAAAACTTGAGTGTGGTCATGAAAAGTACATTAAAGACAAGATAGGAATCATAGGAGAAAAAGAAAAGAAAAGAAAGTAAGTATAATTCTCTCCCCCTAACAACCTTCTCTGAGAACACAAACCTATTTAAATTATAATAACTAAACAAACACCGTTATCACAGAAAGGAAAAATAATAGTTGTTGCAAGAATACTTCTTTAACTGTTTTTACAGCTTATCCTACTGGAGACAAAATGTCAAGAGATAATAGGGCCGAGATAGATGTCTCACCCCCGAATGCGCTTTCTCAGCTCATCATCTGAAATCTTAGACCTTGCATAGCCAAAAATGTGTACCTCATCTGGTTGCAAAAATCCCTGCATAGGCATACAATTACAATAAAAACTTTCATAAGCACACGCATAATGATATGTTAAACTTGGTGAAATGCAGAGAGGCTAAACGGGCAAAACCAACAACTGACCACCCTGGGGTGAGGACACTAGGTTGATGAATACAATTCAAGAACACAAACTAGTCAGAGACTGATCAACTCAAAATTTCCGTTCAAAACAGAAAGCAACCAATTAAAAGAGTGAAACCTGGCGATAGAGATTGTAGAGAGCAGGAAAAGTTTTCTTCTTGGCTAGATCACCAGAGGCACCAAGCACAACAATTGACAGACACCCAGTTTCAGGCACAGTCACATACTCCCTTGCAAACGAGTCATTCCTAAAACTAGATCTCTTCTCAATGGACCATTGACCCGATGCCATCTTCCAAACTTGGTGCAGAGTCAACAAGAATTTGGTTCAAGATACAGCACCAAAAGCGATCCTTGTGAACTATGATCTGCAATCCAAAGAAGAGAGAAGATTAAAAACCAAAATTTGGTTTGCTTTTCTCGGTTTTATCGAAACTTAGGAAAAAAAAGAATCAAAAACGCAAAGTTCATTGCATGGATCGAAATTCTCAGGAACCAAAGAATCGCACATCAAAAGTTCCTACTCCAAAGTTCAAACCCACCTGATAAATCAAAACTCAAAGAAACAACGGATCGAAGACACTGAAAACTGCATTTCAAGCTCAAACAGCGGAAAACAAAAACAGACCCAGATCATAGAAATGAGATCAAACAAACCTTAGCAACCCAATTTGGTGAAGAAATCCGTATTATGGTAGAAGAAGAGAAAGAGAAACAGGAAGGAGGAGACAGGGCTTTGTTTGACAAGTGAGGTTGATAGTTGAATTCTCACATTCGTCTCAGCTTCTTAACGTAGCTGTACAAATAATATGAGGAATTGTATTCCTCCTCTCTTCACATTTCTCCCCACTAAATTTCAGATTATTTTTTATTGCACCCTCTAAGATCTTGATCTGTCTTGCCCATTGCCATAACAAATTCAAATTATTAATTTTTTTTATATTTCATATGATAAATTATGTAAGGGTGTTTGTTTTGACTTTATTTTTCTTATCTCATGAGAAATTATTTTTTGTCATCTCTTATCTTATCTTAACGAGAAAATAATATTTTATTTTTAATAAAAAAAAATATTACTAAATTATTTAAATTAGTTAATTTTGTTTTAATTTTATAAAAAGAGCTATTAAACTTATGAGCAGGTGGATGAATTGGTAGAATACTTTTTCAGTTTAATCAGATTTGGTTTCAAATTCTGAAAATGTAATTCCGTTAAAACTTGTAAGGGAGAGTTTTGTCGCTCGTTGAGTTTGCTCGGCTCAAATCCAAATTAATCGGTGATCCAGTGGGTTTTTGGATACTTGGTGATCCAGATCAAAAAATAAAAAATAAAAAGAGCTATCAATTACTGATTTTAATTAAATAAATAAAATATTTTAAATTATAAATAACAATAGTTATCAATTATTAAATATTTACTATCAATTATAAATTGTTTGAATTATTAATTCAAACAATTTATATAATAAAAAATATTTTTTTATTTTTAAAACTCTCTTTTTAGTTACTCAAAATAAAAATTTTAACTTAAAATTT